TATGGCGTAACTCATCGAGTATACATATAATTTATCAGTTATTGAATACACGCTGACTATCGGCTTGTAGGCTTTTTGACGGCTGAGCGAAGTACTGTATATGAAATCGTAATTAGCTACATTATCTTTCGCAACTAATCTTATATCTTTTCTTTAATTGCAAGGGTTTGAATGGAGATGTAAGTACCGACACGAACTTCTTCACTGTGAAATTGACTTCAAGGTGACCAGATTACGAATGTGTTCCGGTTTGGGAATATCCTCTTGCGGGATCTCGCTGTCGTGCCCGACTCCAATATTTTGCTGGTGGTAGGAAGGATTTTCTTTTCTCGAGGGGAATCCTTGCCGAGAAACAGTAGATCCGAGAAGCAATTTATATGTAAGCTAATTTATTCATTGAACTTTCCCGGTACCTAACATCGCATAGCGTATGACATGGATGCGAAGGAATGTAGAAGGTCAAGCCAGTTATCATCTTAACCACCAGCTTTTCCCTAATGCTATCGCAGCTACAACCCAATGTTGGATGATGCCCGCCATATCAAAGTTGCAAGAACTGCTTCTGCTAACCGACATGGTATTGATGTGCTTCTTGGTCACAAGGGTAAAGTACGTCACATCTTCCCCAGTTACTGCCCACCCCATCCTACCAAACTGTTGCAGTCGCCTCCCCAGATATGGACGCTGCAACCTCGAATGAACGACTTCCACCGACTCCAGCAGGGTGATATAGCTTTTCATCCAGCAGTCGAGCTCACAGGACCTGGGCACTTCGCTGGGCATCTGGATGAGGTAATAGTTTGTGCGAGTGCAGGTTATTAGCTGCTTAGTTCATCCGATTACATCTCGCTAAAACGGAGTTTATTAGATGGGGGAATTACTATTTGTGACAGACAAACAGGATCAATACTGGCTCAATCTCCCGCCGAAGCCCCAGATGTGACCCCTCAGCCCATCGCTTGCGTTTCCTCACAAGAGAATAGCTTCACGATTGCTACCACAGTAAAAAAGCATTTAAAGATCTGGACTGTCACACGATCAGATAAACCTGGGCGCGTATTCCAACCTCCACAGGCTATATAGTGTTCACTGTTAATCTGGTCATTCCAATCAAGCCAAGCTATGTATACCATATGCACAAACGCTCTATTTAAATAAATATTCTAGACTTCATCATGACTTCAGACAATAATCTCATACTTCTCAACGCTCTTCAAAATCTTCCCCCACCGCCCAGAGTCCCAAGTCTTTATATCATTCCATTCCGAGCTATTCTCCCCGAAAAGTTTCTTCATAGAAATTAAATGGGATGCAACCATGAAGTCTAGGTAGCATATTTCGCTTCCCATGATATAGAGGCCTTGTTTTCTTGGTAGCCGGCTGGCAATGATGCTGAACTCTTTTTTCAATTTGGCCCATTCTTCCTCACGTCGTTTACCGCTGGGACAAAATTCTTCTATTGTCATCCCAATGAACGCTTCTTTGGTGCGGAAAAATGCCTGGCTACGTGGATTAATAACGCGGTACGCAGCGGGTATGGTGAATTGACGAAGTTGCATCGAGCCTGCCTCGAAATGAAAATCGAGTGCTTCACGCTGAAGTTCGCGTGACCCGGGTATTATCAGCTTTGGAGTATTTGGATAAGCAGCGTCGAGATAGACGGCAATCTCAGTAGATTCTGAGACGACGGCTCCCGTGGATGGATCGTAAATGGCTGGAAGGGTGTAGAGTGGGGTGCCATCGGGATTCTTCGTGGTGGGTGGTGCGCCCATTTCTTTGCATTTGGCCTCGATATCAGCACTTTCGACCCATTCTGTTTCATATGGAATCCCTTTAAAGTTCAAGGAATATCTTGTTCATTAAAGATAAGTTTGAGAGTGACTTTAAAAAGGTGGGGTAACTTGCCTAATTTTCCAGGTATTAAATGACCAGGCCATGCCTGGGACGGTCGAAGGGATGTCGTAGAAAATGATATGGGACATTTCTGAACTAGTGTGTTCAGCAGGTAACAAATTTCATCCTTTATATACGCAATCGGGCCAGGAAAGGATTCCCGCGGCGCAATGGAGTAAGTAAATCTTTTGCTGAAAGCGAAATATTGTAAGGGGTGGTACCGTCATGGAATCAGAGTTACGTATACTGAGAAGGATTAACGATCGAAACTCACATGTTGTCTGCAGGTTGACAGCGTCTCAATCTTCTTCGTGGGGGACATCAGGCCATGAAAGACATTCCACAACGTCTTGACATGTCAGGTTACTTGCCGTTCTTTCGTTGTCTTCGATACTATCTTTGAGCAGATCATCTGAGAGAATGGAAGTAAGTTAAAAGTGTACATTCTACTCAAGCGCATATAAAGTACGTCATAAAACAGCATCGACGCCCGGAGTGAGGATTTCAATGTGGTACTAAATAATTTCTCATAGACAACTTATAGTAGTGATCTTAATCAACGCCGAATCGAGGGATATAGCGGAAAAGAACCGATAAGCCTGCGCGGTATGCATGCACCCTACAGTCCGCTTGTCACTTGTGTCAAGTAGTTAAATTAAAGAATTATAGATGCCGAAGGGACAGGGGTGGTGCAGGGTCCACAAGTAATGCCCTCTCATCTTATTGGACCTTGCAAGAAAAAGGTAAAAATATTTTAGCACCCCACCCCCGCCAATTGACAGACAGCGACACATTCTACAACCTTTAACCATGTAAAAATAACTTTACCGCGGGAACCGCTGAATGAAGTCTGATGCGCAATCGATCGTCCATGGACTATAGGATTCACACAAGTATTGGAAGTAACTTGAGGGTATAGCGAATAAATGTGAGCCGATCTGCTTTATATTGATGAATTCCCACAAGGTTCGTACCGCAGTGTATCCTCGGTCCTGTTGACATATTTTATGGGAATCCGAGGTGTGGCCGTTCGCGTGGGGGCGTTCGCATAGTAGTTTTAAAACTCCGAAACCAAATTTGCCAGTGGAGTATCCAAAAGCCCCCAGTTAAACGGCCTGTGGACTGACTTCAAGACTAAGCCCTAGGAAATAAGATGGTTCAGACCGAAGGATTGAACTCCAACACAAAATTTCTTACATGGTATGATGTATAGGATACGGGACGGTCTTCCGTCACAGGTGTTGTCGCAGCCCGCCTCAACACAAGCCGTAGCAAAGTTGCGTCAATATGATCCCGCGCTGTCAAATTTAAAACCCCACTTTGTTTCCTTCCCTTCATCATATTTCGCCTCGGTCAATATGGCCGCCTTAGGGTCATCATTCTTGGGATGCTCTAAATCGTGCGTTCCGGCATCCCAGTTGACCTTCCTTTATTCTTCGATGCGTTTGTTTTTCTGATAGGCATGCGATCGACAGGCCCGAAAAGGAGTATGTCAGGACACAGTACATCACTAAATTGTCCCAGTGTTTTGTCAGTAATGCCCCCGTTGGGAACCTCGCTGAGAGTCAGCATCAATCTCTTTACAAAAACTCGGTTTTTTGAGAAAGTACCTAGTCAATCAAGTTAGAGTAAGGTGATGGATGTAGTTGAGAATAAAAATTTAAGACACTATGCGAGGTTTGATGTAATCCTGGCCAGGATAGCTTATCGGTGAGTGGGCAGGCCACGTCAAATATGTACATCACGACATCTCTCGCGTCTGACGTGGCGCGGTTGAGTGATTCGTGGGTAACGACCTGCATGAAGTGGTAATTTACTGTCTGATTTCTTTGGCATTAGTACCCCAGAAGTTTTTTTTTATTTGTATGTTACCCCAAGATCAAAACGTTCGATTCGCATCGTTCGGGGTTCGGGAATATCTAGCTTTTCGAACCAGTTTTCGTTTAAAGGTTTGATCTTACATATTATATTAACTCACCTTACACCCCGGGTATTATAAGTCCAACTAGGGCATGCCGAAACGGCCCCGCAAAAGGTCACAGGATTCGATATGCACAACAAGTGTATTACATCAACAATGTATCATTTTCTCGATTCGATATTTATGTTTTTTCGGTAATTTATCTGGCCCCTCTGGTATATTATTGAGCGAGGGAGATGATTAAAACTCACAGGTTAACTATCATAACGCGTTCGTACCAGTCCGCGTCCACGGATCAGTTGATAGTATATCATAAACCATCCATTGCAAAAAAAAAAGCAGCACGCGCCTGCCGGTCTCGCTATGTAATTTTTTCGAGGGTGTCGGAGTGTAAGGCCATGCATCATATTCGTGACGAACGCAGCTTGAATATAACCAAATTTGAGTAAAGAACCTCTTATTTGCTCAAAAATCTGATGGAAGAATCACGTCAATGCTACGGCATGGACGAGCCTGAAAACAGTTTTTACCTAGAAGTTTATGATCGGGGCGCAATGCCAAGCCTGGTGTGAGTTTGCTAAGATATCAGGGTGGAGGAGTTTCTGTTGCACGTGCATGTCGCATCGCATCCGAGCGTAGTTTAATCAGCATCGAGTAGGGCTCGGGCTTGAGTCGCCGAACGCTAACGCAGGGAAGACCAAATGTAGATCTAGGTCCCAGACACTTCTGAAGAAAGGTCCTCAAATGACAAACGCAGGCTCAGGACTCAGGAGGGTTCGAGAATTAGGAATTTTTTGTGATACAACGTGAACGGGTGAGAAATGACATGCGGAAATACACACCACCCATATATCCGGGATCGGGAGGTCTGGAGGTGATTGGGATGTTAAGTCAGGGGCTGTTGGGCACTGGGCTTACTGAAGAGAACTTTTATCAGTAAAACCTGAGTAAAAAATGCAAAAACGTAGTGAGTGACTTTAATTATCCCTACGCCCATATCATGACTCGTACCTTTGGGATTGGTGAGAATTCCCATTACTGTGCAATGCCTGGGTAGATTTTGGAAAGAGGACTCGTTGAGGGCGGAAGTTGCAATGTTGAATTATGAGTAAGAAATATTGGGGCTTCGAGTGTATCCTGCAAGCCCGGATACCACCTGATGGCTACATTGGCGACCACTTAGGAATCCGGTATGGTGTAACGGCTAACATTGCCGCCTTTCATCAGGAAAGATTACGCGGCAGCTCGGGGTTCGATTCCCCGTACCGGAATTTTTTTTTATGAATCATTGTTAGCCCCTAACTTAAGGTTTGAAGTGTCCTGAATCCGACACTCGCGCCTTCCGTGCTGCTTGGTAGGGAGGGAGTCAAAGGATAAAAACCTCTGAGGCCTACACACGCAAATAATTTAAGAGCGATTTTACCAGTCATACCATTTTCTGACCCTATTTACTGCATGGCCTTGAAAGAGCATGCGATGCCCACGAAGCTGTTCCGTCGACCTTAAGACATGACATCCGAGCGGCACAGGTATCTGACCAAGGGGCGCCCAGACCTGAGATCAAGCTTTCCTCGCATTCCTCGGGGGGCACCGCAGAGGCCAGAATGAGGGACAGAGCGGAAAGATCAATATAGCATGTGGTTTTGTAGCTACCCGGGTTTTTACTTTGAGAGTTGCAACCTCTGTATTATGTAGTGGGCAAAAGTTGTTATGGTGAAGCAGCAATTAGACATGTGATAGGGTGATATAGCCTACACTACGGGGATGCCCAGGACAGAGGGAAAGGGAATATTGTTCAGAGGAAGTGTCTCTAGGAGGTAAGGATGTTCAAGGCATTGTCGGCTGGTGAGTCGTGCGCTAGGATCGTGCCGAAGGAGACCACCAATACAATCAATAAGGGAAGTGGGGATAGTTTGCTTGAACCACGAATGGATATCCTTCGGCTCCATCTTATAAAGTACATTATTAGCCAAGCAAGTCAGTAGTTGACCGTAGCACTACACACTTTTGGAAATTGGAACCCCATAGCCGCAGCTATCCTGACACCTGCAGGCCATGGTCCCCCACCCCTATATCCATTCTGTGTGCTAGCGTCATAGGTACTCCCAGGATCGCCCAGGAGATTGCAAATCCTGTGTATTTGATTAATCTGATCATACCCGGGGAACAACGGCTGCAGGTTCAACAACTCTGCCAAGATTGTGCCCAGGCCCCACATGTCAACAGGTGTAGAGCAGTCGGGACTCAGGAGCAAGGCTTCGGGCGCCCGATACCACCGCGTCGCCATGTATTCTGTATATGGAGTCGTATTTGTCGTTTTACGCGCATTGCCAAGATCCGCGAGTTTGATGAGGCATATAATATCCCGCTCTTTAGGGGCATTGGGGGGCGTCAGGGGCGATGTGGATGTATAGTCGAACATCCCTGTTGTTGTGACGAGAATATTTTCTGGTTTCAAGTCTCGATGAATATATCCAGAGCTGTGTAGATGGTCCAAGCTGGCAACCATCTGATGGAAGATGGATGCGATGAGCCCACCTGCAAATGTGCGGCCATTCCTGATTTTCATGAGGTGATACAAATTTCCTTCCATCGGTTCAAAGACGAGACAGAGTTCATTAGTATCTGGGACTAAGAAGGCGTCGTAGAGGGAGATTATATTGGGATGAGTCGATATTGCTTGTAAAACCTATTATGAGTTATGTTAGACAAGATGAACAAAATCAGGATCAAGATGTTACGCACGTCAAGCTCCCTGGGCTTTGTATGTTCGCTCCACCCATCTTCCCGTTTCTTTGCCTGCTTAATAACTACCAGTCGCTTTTCTGCCCATTCGGGCCTCACACCTGTACCAGATTGCATTGCAGGGAGGGGAGAAGTCAGGGGCAAGTCGCTATGTAAATCACATAGCTGTACCCTAGCAAACGCACTATTGCCTAATGTCTTAAGAGGCGTATAAGAACGTGTCAAAGCTGTCATATTTTGGGCAACGTTAGTGAGAGGATAAGGAGTGAAATAAAGTCAGGAAAACCCACAGCTGTTCAAGTTACCGAATACCAATCTGTCTCCCTCAAAGGATACACTTGGTATACCAGAAACAGTTACTCTGGCAGCTCCGCTAGGGTCTACCATAATGGAATATAGCTGGCGTGAAGTTTGTAGAAAATGAAGCTTGAAGCAATGGAGATTGAACGGAGTCATGAGAGGGGGTGAGGAACTGCAAGATAAGGAGCTTAGAAAAGGATGTAGAAAGGCTATAATCAACATATTGGGCTAGCCTAATAGGCGCTCAAGCTCAAAGCTGTGTAAAAGCGCCCTCTTTGCCAGGTGGTGGTATGAGTATAAACCGACTCGGACAATCAGGCACAAATAACCTCGGCAGTGAGCGCCTTACCTAGCAACACCCTGTCCCCGACGGCACCTTACCTCCTCCTGTCCTTATTACTTATTATTACCATTGATAGTGATCAATTAACAGAATTCAACGTGAGCTTGAACCAGGATGGATAACAAGCCGCAATATATACCTTCACCTTCATCCACTGGCCCTTGTGGGGCAGCGTACATTTCACTGGTTGTTGAAACTGATACAGCACTCACTACTCTACGCTCTTTTTGAAGAAAGATTTCGGGCTCTTCATCAGGGCCAAGTTTCAATGCTGGTCAGGACAATCCATATTGCATGGGTGACAGGCTCATACTACTGAGATGTAATTCAAAGCATTTACCGTCACCGTCATCCTGATCTCTCATTGAATTCAGCCCAAGCAATTTTTTGAGGCTTTGTTATGTTACCCTCGAGCTGAAATCCCTTGCCGAAATCCTTCTTTAGATATTTCTCGTTTTCCCATGGTGGTTTTCCAGGTTCCAACATCCTAGAGATGTTCATAATGTGGTTGTTTCCATGCGTCAAATTTCTAAACACTCAGGTTCGACATTCCATATCAAATGTGAGTGGACTCGACTGACCTCAAGATATTTTTTCCGAGCAACATCAACTGACACCCACAGGTGAGGATCCTCCCATGACCGCAGTTCATCTGCAAGTTTCTCCGTTGGAGCAGCCAATGATAAAATGGAAGGGAGAGCCCCAAGGGCAAAATTACATATTTGAAGGTTAAGACAGCCGTTTAACTTGCTACTCTTATCCTTTGGATTTTTGTCAACAGTGCCTCTGCTATGTTTCCCTGGTGAGAGTGAAGTAAATACAATAAAAACACGAACTGATTTGAGGAGTTCCTTACTGAGATATTTGATACATCTGTGCGTAATGCAAGCATAGACTCCTCCATCAATGTGGTACCTTCCCGCACGCTTGTGATCACTGAGGAAATCCAAGTAGAGCTTTTCCACAGCCACCGTCTCGTGATATGTGAAGGATACACAAATAAGGAAATCATGCATACTTTGATTTGACTTGTATGCATTAAAAACATCCAGATCGAGTAGAATTCCCGCATGATTCCACGCGTCCGGAAGAGACATATCCCAATGCATAGCTGCACTTTTACGAGGAGTCGACTGTAACTCCGCAGCTAATGCGAGTAGTTCTGACGCCCTGTCCAGCCATACAAGAGTAAGGATCTGCTCTCTTAAGTGACGGTCTATTGACATAAGGTGACAATTTAAAAAGTCCTCGGGGATGCGGAATATTCCCTCATAAAACTATATTTACCAAAAAGTTAATATCATTACATCTTGCTGGAGAGCGGAACCCCAACCAATCTTTTAATCCAAGAGATTTGATCCAAGGTTGCACGGTACCGGTCCGATGGGGTTGAACGAGTTGAATATTTCGCCCATGTTGGGAGAAATTCGTCTGAATGAAACAGGTCTGAGAGGTCGAAGCAAAGAAGCTCCTCAAACAAAACCCTGTCCATGCGTGCGCTTTCACTGTGCCGAATAAGGTTCCACAACGAGAAAGCTCTGACTGACGGTTCTGATGAATTTTGAGATTCCATTGACCCATTAGGGAAAGGGAAAACCAATCAGTAACTTACGGGAAGAGCATACTCCTCTCATACATGCTCGGGCAAGATCAGCGTGAATTGCTCCTCGGTCCACAAAAAACTGCTGGGAACGGGTGGGATCAATAAGGAAATCAGATAGTGAGGCATGCAAAAAGTGCAACGAAGATTTTGTGTTTGGTATTTCTCCGGGGAAGGCTGGCAGGTTGATGATCGAGTAATAATCTATCAATGCAAGGTATATGTCCCCAGGTGCGAGGCCAAGGAAATCTTCAATCATGGCGGGCTGCCTGTCATAGTGAGGGTCTGTGCAAAGAAGGAATCCAAATATCCTTAGAATTGTGGTTAACTGAGTCTCATCTGCTGACTGCAAGACATGCATATACAACACATCAAGCTCTGCAAAAGGAGCAGCGTTTTTAGAGCTTTTTCCAATCTGGAGAACATCTTGTAGTCGATCCATGGGCCGATGACGCGGGGACTTTATATATCGCATAGCTGTGGAAGCAAATATAAACTGGCCAGAGGATTTCTGCACCAGTATATCAACGTCATGTTGCGAAGGCCATTTTTCCGGAATATACAACTTCAGAACATGGGTGTTCCGAATGTCCAAAAAACTATCCCATAAAAATAGCGCTATATCGCATGTGGATTCATAATTGTCACCTAGAACGAGGGAAACATATGTCCAGTTCTTGTCAGGAAGAGAGAACGTGCCACGGATAGATTGTTCTGGCCGACTCGAGATCATTATACGAAGTGGAATGCTGTATTGTGTGGCCATAGAGGCAAAGCTGGAAATGATAGCTCGCTGGATTTCTCCACCATTGCACTCATCTAGGCCATCAATAATGATCAGCTTTGGCCAACATCCCGAGGTGTCAGGAGTGATGGCGCATAAAGGCCTAGCGACCAGTTGATAGAGCTGAGTTGCTAGAGACTTGGAGAAAACCATGGGGTCATTCTCAATTTCCCGTTGGATGAGTAGTTGTGCATCGGTGATACTATAAGCAATCTGGTGTGCAATCGTAGCAACAAGGCGAGATGCATCGTTGCGCCCTAAAGCGGTCCTCGAGAAAAAGAAGCTGGCTGCAAGGGTGCCGGCTTTGTGGCATTCCTCCGCCATAGACTGGGAAATGGCGGATTTTCCGGAACCAGCCGGTCCGTACAACCACATGATACGTGGAACTGATATATCTTCGCTCCTGTACCAGTCTCGAATTGTGTTTAATATCGCAATTCGTGTTTTAGGGTGACACTTTGGTGGATTAAAGCGTTCACCTGAGTTGTGGAATGCACCT